ACAATAACACTAGCAAAAATAGGAATAATAATGCTAACAAAAGGAATACAAATAATACTAAAAAACTGACTCATGATAGAAATCGTAAAAATAACAAAAAAAGTCGTAATAATAGTAATCATAGCAATAATCATCAACATAGTAGTAGTAATCATGATACTAATAAGATTAAGTATAGCAATACTAACAATATTGGTAATAGTAATGAAAATATAATCATAACCCTAAAAACCATGAGTCTTGGAAGGTCCGCACCTGCATTTCCCGAAGCTGCTGCGCCGAAGTCCAGCCTCCCCGGTACAGCTCCGCTGCGCCCGTGGCGGGCAGCTTGTTCAAAGTGTTGGCCAGGGACACCTCGAATTTCTAGTCAAAATAGTAGTTTGAAAGGTGATATAGTAGCAATAGTAACAGTAACAATAAAAATTGTATTCAAAGCGTTGGACAGGGACACCTCGAAGTTCAAGACAGCACGCATCATTGCAGCGTCGTTGCCTCTGCGATTGTCCTCGCGGAATCCCTCGTAGTTTTTGGGCAACAACCCATGTCCGATCTGGCCCATGGGTCGGGAATAGTCGTACTGGCCAAGGTAACTGCCCAAGACCTTGAGGTCTTCCTCCGTAAGCTTCTTCCCCTGCTGCGCCGGATCCCACCAATCTAAGGACTTCCACGCATCGGTCTGCGATTGGTTTGAGTCAAGCACGACTGTCTCCTCGCAAAACTTGACCTGTACTCTTCCATCCTTCAGGTCAGTGACTTTGGCTTTGTTAAGGCTTTTGTACCCACACTCCTTCAACTTGACAATAGTTCGCACAGCAGAGGCCGGATATGCGCCCAACAGGACCACAACCAAAAAGGCAGCGGCCCAGCACGAATGCAGCATCATGAAATGCAACTAGCTTGCAGACAACGGCTCTAGTATAGAACCTTGAGAACCACATGAGGCTGGGCGACATGCATTCGCAACCTTCGTAGGCAACTTGCAACTTGCATCCCTGCTCATGTTGGTGGCTCAAACTCACGAATCGGTGAAGGTGTTCTAACCCTAAAGGTCCATGTGCCCAAATAGTACAACGGCCAAAGTCTATACTATTTGGGCACATGG